CACTTGCACAACATCCTGATAGACTGAAGAAAGGACTGAAGACTTTTCTTGAAGAAAGTAAACAGTCATTAGAAAATATAATGTGCAGCGCCTTCTGGTTTATATCGTCATGCTTCATGTATGTGTTTCTTATCTATAAATTGCATCTTATATAGTGGATTACTGCAGATAATAAAACTACGGTGGCCGACCCGTGCAAACGTGTTACAGCGTCCCAGAACTCTTCCATTAGGACGAAATGCGCTGCAGCTTCAGAAACGAGGCAGATATATTTACAAATGTGCCAAAACACGTTTGAATCAAAACATAATGGCACGAGTTATGGGACAATAACACAAAGGGAAGACGTTGAGATTCAAAGGGAAGTAGGAATGGAAAGCCTTGGGGGGGGGGAACAGGGGAGACCAGAGCATCGTTAGCAGGATAAGATTAGGACGTTCCAGATTGAACTCGTCACTGCATCTAATTGGAAAACAACTGGTAATTGTGATGGTTGCCAATAACCAGAGACCATTGGACGTGTATTGTTTTGTTGCCCAGAGAGACATTCTGAAATCTGCACTGGAAATAAAATGACATTATGGAAATGGGTCTTAAAACCAATCTTCACAAGAAACACTGGAGATGAGGTTCTTTGCATTTCTCAAAAACAACTGGTCTGATCTCAAGAATATCATTGAAAGACTCCATAAATCAACAGTAGGTGGCGACGATGCTCCAACTGGTTGCGAATTACCATTCATCTGAAGAAGAAGAAGAAGAAGAAGAAGAAGAAGAAGAAGAAGAAGAAGAAGAAGAAGAAGAAGAAGAAGAAGAAGAAGAAGAAGAAGAAGAAGAAGAAGAAGAAGAAGAAGAAGAAGAAGTAAATACAGCAGCAAGCTTTGGGACGGCTTCCCCTCTCTCCGCAGAAACAGGAAGTGCCGTAACTGTATGTAACAACGGTTTCAAATCAGCATCTCTTAGACAACAAGTTTAAATGAATAACTCAAATAAAACTCCAAACATCTTTCATTGTGTTTCAAAGCTCTTTTAGTTTTAAACCGGATGTTTATAAGCTTCTTAGTTTTTGCAACGGTCTGTAAATATACACAACTTTATAATAAAATGCACACATTTACCTTTTTCTAGACTAAACACAGGTATGATCCTAAGTTAAAACATATGAGGTTATCATGAGGTTGTTAACATCGCAGTTTATCAGCGGATGTTTGCTGGAACTACTTGTAAACCGCGTGTTTCCTGACGGACACACACAGCGTGACTCCGGTCAGGTAGAGACCAAGGCTGCTTCTCAGGTCGATTAAATGAAACCTTGCTTCTCTCACTTGCGTCGTTTCCCTGCGTTTAGTCCCTCCCACCAGGGAAGCATGGAGGGACGCAAGGAAACCACGAGAAGCAGGGAAATTAGTTTTAAGAGCAATGGGACGTCCTTTCCTCCGGAGCGTCACGTGAAGCGACGTCCGTTTGTGATGACGCTGCACAGCTGATCGTCTGACAGCAGCTCTGTCCCCGTTATTTCCACACACACCCCCGCCTCTGTTAGTGCACATTTACTGACACACACATTTGTATAATCTGTTGTAGACCCAAATACATGAAATAAAATAAGAACTCATTCTCAAAAAAGATAAACGCCATTCTTAAAATGTATAAACGAACAATAGTTTGATTAATATTGATTAGAGTGCACAATAGAAATAAAATAATTGAGAGAAGAAAAAGAGATATGTTATCTATCAAAACCCAGTTAGATTAACATTCATTGGATTGCACACTTTGTGTGTTTGTGTGGATATGTAGCACATTAACATTTCAATAGCACTTAATGACTGACTGAATGGAAATGAGACAATAAATGAAAATGTAAAACGAAAAAAGCGATCATGAAAATATTTCCAAAAAATGAATAAAATTATTTTTGACCACTTTGTTGTTCAGATATATCACATATTTGTAACTAAATGAAACATGAATTGAAACAAAACACGGTATAAACTGAGGAGTGACTTCCATGAGGTTCATGTGTTTTCTTCACTCTGCTCTCATGTCAAGAAGCATCAGATCAGTGCATGCACTGCATCGTCCAATCAGTGAGCGATACACAGTAAGGGGGCGGGGCGAGTATCTGAGGATTTCATCGGAGGATGGTCTGGTGGTTCCTCGGTTATCTCTCCTCCATGATCGCTCCTCGATCCTCGGTCCTCCGGCAGAAATAAGAGCCATGGGACGGTACTCAAGATGGCGCAGGCAAATCAACTTCCGGTGAGACCGAGGACCGAGGAGCGAGGAAATGAAAATAATCGACCTGAGAAGCAGCCCAACGCTGCTTCTCAGGTCGATTAAATTAAATCCTTGCTTCCCTCACTTGCGTCGTTTCCCTGCGTTTAGTCCCTCCCACCAGGGAAGCATGGAGGGACGCAAGGAAACCACGAGAAGCAGGGAAATGAGTTTTAAGAGCAATGGGACGTCCTTTCCTCCGGAGCGTCACGTGAAGCGACGTCCGTTTGTGATGACGCTGCACAGCTGATCGTCTGACAGCAGCTCTGTCCCCGTTATTTCCACAAACACCCCCGCCTCTGTTAGTACACGTTTACTGACACAAACAGTTGTATCATCTGTTGTAGATCCCAATAAATAAAATAAAATAAGAACTAATTCTCAAAAAAGATAAACGCCATTCTTAAAATTTATAAACGAACAATAGTTTGATTAATATTGATTAGAGTGCACAATAGAAATAAAGTAATTGAGAGAAGAAAAAGAGATATGTTATCTATCAAAACCCAGTTAGATTAACATTCATTGGATTGCACACTTTGTGTGTTTGTGTGGATATGTAGCACATTAACATTTAATAGCACTTAATGACTGAATGGAAATGAGACAATAAATGAAAATGTAAAACGAAAAAAGTGATCATGAAAATATTTCCAATAAAATGAATAAAATGATTTTTGACCACTTTGTTGTTCAGATATATCACATATTTGTAACTAAATGAAACATTCATTGAAACAAAACACGGTATAAACTGAGTAGTGACTCCCGTGAGGTTCATGTATTTTCTTCACTCTGCTCTCATGTCAAGAAGCATCAGATCCGTGCATGCACTGCCTCGTCCAATCAGTGAGCGATACACAGTAAGGGGGCGGGGTGAGTATCTGAGGATTTCATCGGAGGATGGTCTGGTGGTTCCTCGGTTATCGCTCCTCCATGATCGCTCCTCGCTCCTCGATCCTCGGTCCTCCGGCAGAAATAAGAGCCATGGGACGGTACTCAAGATGGCGCAGGCAAATCAACTTCCGGTGAGACCGAGGACCGAGGAGCGAGAAAATGAAAATAGTCGACCTGAGAAGCAGCCCAAGCCCCCAGGAAGTGCGCCGGACTCAGATGAAAATATTCGTGCTGGCCAAACGGCGGTACTACACTTCCGTTTGGTTGCCAGGCCCGGAAACTCTTTTTCCCATTGACTTACATGGGGAAAGAGTGGTCTGTAACTCGTTGGATAATTTTTTTTTAACTAAATAAACTACCCAGTATGAACACTTGTATAGCCCTTATTAAAAACATTCGTTCCTCACGTTGTAATAATTAGCTAATAACGTTATTCTGAGAGTTATTTCCCTCTGCATTATGAACGCGCATCTAACCCACGGGACCGCGCCGCCCGGCACGTTCACGTTACGTGTCCCGACCAATCAGAGCACACTGTGCTCCCAGGGAGGGTGGGGCTGGAGCTATTGGAGCTACAACGAGTCGTTAAAGGCAGAGAGTGAAATTCAGTGAATACACGTAGTTTACAGAGATGCTGTTTGAGAAACCAATGTGAGTTGCGTTTATCTTTACCCATGGATGCACAATAAGAACGGATCCATATCGTCTTACTGCCATCCCACGGAGCTGTAATAATGGATATATTGCACATGTTTGCTGTAATTCATTATCATACATGGGCTGTATGATTAAATCTTGTACCGTAAATGTTGTATTAAATAAAGTTAATATTACCGACATTATTAACGTCCCTGTAGCTTCGTATTGCACTAAGAAGCTTATTGCACTGTATATAAATATATATATATACAGTGCAATAATAATTTCATGCTAAATGAAGCTCTGTTGGATATCACTAGATCCTGTTACAGCGTAATATAAGTACATAACGATTGATGTGTACATTAGCATCATTACTAGCTAGCCGCTAGCTGCTAGCTGTTCATATCAAATCCATGATAACAACAATCCATTACCATGCTGTCATGAACGCGCTGTGCTGTTACGTGTACGCAAATTGACGTGCTTGATGTGAACGAGCATTTTGGTTAAAGTTGCGCATGCTCTATGAGTGCACATACGGGTACTTCTCAGGCATGCCGGGTAATCTGTGACGTTTCACTCTCTCAAAAGTTGGGCCATTTTATCATCATGCGCCAATGAGCAACTCTCATAGGAATGAATGAGGCCCCGCCTCCCACGCTGTATCCAGTTCTTATTGTACATCCATGGTAGAGACCGGTCTCAAGTCAGCACCGCTGCAGACTCGCTGTTTGAGGGCTTGATAGCCCACTCCCCCTCCACACCGCTCCACACTCGTTGCTTTGGAACAGCCCTCAATATGGCGGACCCTCCGCGTGAACGCGCAAGTGTAGGGGGTGCAGGGCGTGGTTTGGGATTGGGTTTGCATTTGTCTGCCACCATAGAACAATCAAAGATCAATAGAGAGGCAAACATTAAACAGTCATTAACATATAATTTGCACATTTCCCATACATAACATTGTAGTTTTTATTGTAACATTGCATTTCCTAAATTATAAATCTCAGCACCCCAAAAAAAACGTCATGCATTAGTTGGACAATATACTTTATTGTCAAATTCATAATAACCATTTTACATCAACACAAACACTTATATATACAAGGTATTCACAAATCAGCCTACAAACAAATGAGACTATTATTACAAAACTACAATTCTCAATGATGTCTACAACTGCTGTAATGAAAATTAAGAGCTGCCTGCTTTTGTTTTGTTTGCTTCAACATGGCTTAATAACTGAATGTCCACAAAGAACGCCAGTGATTGTTGTAACACTGTGGGAATGAGTCAGTAATCATAATGCATGATGATACATGCCACTAATGGCTTCCTTGAGATATTTAGAGGAAATACACTGGTCTCATCTTTCATTGCTCCACAGCAAAAAGCAAAGTGGATCCACAACCAAGTGAAGCTAAACCCTTTAGAAGCCACCGGTGGGAAAGATGTTTGATAAAGTCCAGGCTAAAGGGATGACGTAATTGTAAAATAAAACCGAACACAAAGTAAATAACATGTCTTGCCATAGCAGGGTGTGCTCCTTCAGCCCTAATGCCTCACTTAGCCCTTTAAAAATGTAGGAAATAACACAGGAAATGAAACGCAGAGTTAGCAAAAGGTTCCCTAAAAGTTTAAAAGGACACCTTGCTGACTTCTTTATGTCTGGAAATGTGTTAATGAGTGTAGACATCCTGACATATTTAGAAATACTGGTGTTTTCCTCATTGGCTTTTTAGTTCACGTTTTCTGTCGCTGTTAGAGTCCGTGTCGCTGTGTTTCGTCACAATTGTTGCAAGACTCAACTTCAGGATGTTTCCTCACCGCAGGTCCTCTGAGGTGAAGTCAGTTGAGGGCTGGAGCGCTGCTCGGGGGAAGAGTGGGGGTGTCGTCTCTAAAAGCATCCGACTGGAGGTCTGCAGAAACATATAAAGACACCATGTGTTAATGCTCTGTTGAAAACAAGAGTGTCAGTTAGGTGCTTTAGAATACCACCTTAAATAAGTTATGTTCCTGTGTATAGAGTGGTGCAGGAATTATTCTGAAAACTGGGAAATTGTTTAGCATTTTATCACTTCCTGTGGTTAACACAAGATGAAGAGATTTGAAGTGTACGTCAGTAAATACCCCACTGGTGAATTTAAAAACAGAGGTTGCTAACAAGTGTCTATGAGACGACTAAACGTCATCATGCCCAACATTAGCCGCCTTTAGCTTAGCGGTGGTGATCTGAAGTCATGTGACCGTGCTGTAGTTCCTTTATAGCCCAACATTATCCGCCTTTAGCTTAGCGGTGGTGACGTGAAGTCATGTGACCGTGCTGTAGTTCCTTTATAGCCCAACATTAGCCCCTTTAGCTTAGCCGGTGGTGACGTGAAGTCATGTGGACCGTGCTGTAGTTCCTTATAGCCCAACATTAGCCACCTTTAGCTTAGTGGTGGTGACGTGAAGTCATGTGACCGTGCTGTAGTTTCCTTTATAGCCCAACTTAGCCCACCTTTAGCTTAGCGTGGTGACGTGAAGTCATGTGACCGTGCTGTAGTTCCTTTATAGCCAAACCATTAGCCTCCTTTAGCTTAGCGGTGATGACGTGAAGTCATGTGACTGTGCTGTAGTTCCTTTATAGCCCAACATTAGCCACCTTTAGCTTAGCGGTTGGTGATCTGAAGTCATGTGACCGTGCTGTAGTTCCTTATAGCCCAACATTAGCCACCTTTAGCTTAGCGGTAGTGACGTGAAGTCATGTGACCGTGCTGTAGTTCCTTTATAGCCCAACATTAGCCGCCTTTAGCTTAGCGGTAGTGATGTGAAGTCATGTGACCGTGCTGTAGTTCCTTTATAGTCCAACATTAGCCGCCTTTAGCTTAGCGGTAGTGACGTGAAGTCATGTGACCGTGCTGTAGTTCCTTTATAGTCCAACATTAGCCGCCTTTAGCTTATTGGTGGTGACGTGAAGTCATGTGACGGTGCTGTAGTGCCTTTATAGCCTAACGTTAGCTTTTTGCTTCAGAAATCATAAAGTGGTTTTAATATGTGGAGATTATCCTGCTGAACTAAACGTGTAAGTATCATAAACATTTGTTTGACAGATTATTTTCTGCAATAACCCAAAACCATATTCGACGTAAGCAACGTATTTTATGTTGTATAACAAAACGCTAAAATCTCTTCAGTTTGCGTCAACCACAGGCCATATTTTAGGATAACAACCAAGAGCACACTCAGTAATCCACTGACTTCAAGACTAGGGGACAGAAAATCTGGGTGTTTTCCAGAATGAAACAAGACACCCTGGAAATGCTGACTCCAGTCTGTGAGGTCAAATTCCCACCAAATAATTAGAAAAGTGAGATGGTTATGTGCCTTTTATCTATTCTTATGTGTGCCTTTTATCAGTTCTTGTAATATTATATTTTATTATAATGTTATGTTCATTGTGAAGCACTTTGGCAAACCCTCTGTTTTTAAAATGTGCTATAGAAATAAAGTGGATTGGATTGGATGGTATAAAAGCGGTGACTCTGTGAGAATCTTTAATGGGGTGTTTTCTGAACATAGTAGATTCAAGATTCAAGGCATTTGTTGTCAACTTCGTTACTGTACTTAAAGGTCCCAAGTCATGGCCATTTCTACTGATCATATTTCCATTGTTGAGGTACTAGAATAGATTTATATTGTGCAATGGTCCAAACTCACATTGGTTTCTCTGCATCTCTGTATAGCAGTGGTTCCCAAACTTGTTGTGCCCAAGGCACACCAAAGGACAAGTAAAAATCTCAAGGCACACCTATTGTGCAAAATAGCCCTTATAACACGTGTTATCACTCATATCATGTAAAATATCTGTAAATGTACATAATTATTTACTAATGCCAAATAAAATGTGACAAAGACAACTATATTACTCATGAAATATTTATTAACGAAATATTTCAGAAATTAATTTGAAACTTTATCAAATTAGGCTTCATCAAAGCAGCAACACACTCATTTAAACCAGACAGGTCACAACATTACAAATGAGGCAAAGGAAACTCAGCAGAAATTCAGCACAGAGAACTGTCAATGCAAGGAAGCTGCACTGCATGGTCCTGAACTACAAATTATAAATGTAACATTTCAGCAATCAGCATTGAAACATGTGCTATTGTAAATATTTTTGCCGACTTACAAATTAGTGAGATACATGTGCCTGTCGGGGCGCTGAGGAGAGGGCCACTCGCAAGTCCTGTTCAACAGAGAGCCGTGACCTCCTGTTGTTCTTCATGTAAATCAGAGTAGAGAACGCCAACTCCAGAGATGGGGTCGTTACTAAAACATTTTTAATATATTACTTTAAAAAAAATATCTATATATATTACACTACTTTGTTACTATCTACATAAAGTAACTCGTTACTTTACTCACCGAGCACGTACGAACTGCGCATGCGTGAGTGGCAATAACTTTCCTTACCAGCAGGCGGCGGTAGTGTGTATTTGTCATTCAAAACAGACAACAACCGGAAGACAGAGAAGAAGAACAGACTGCGTGATATAAACAAACAACAAATAGCTGTGTGGTAGCTTCACCTCAGCATGTGTTCTTTGCAGGTGCTTGTTGAGGTTTGACCACGTGGTGTTTCCAGCAGTGGATAACAGCTTCTGGCCTGGACACAGTTTGCACCTCACCGTCACATTCCTGTCTATTCTTCGGACGAACTCAAAATAATGGGCATACCTCCACCCCTCGAGAGTTATCGCTGACTTAGCCATGTTTATGCAGCACTGCACGTGGAGATGTGGACGCGCAAGTCGCACAGATTACTACGTACATATAAACCTACAAAGTACTGATATAGTAAATTAAAAAATAATATTTTTTGTGTAGTTGTATATTTCAATAATAACGTATGGTTGTCACAAAATCCCACGGCACACCCGGACTTGCCTCAAGGCACACCAGTGTGCCGCGGCACACCGTTTGGGAACCACTGCTGTATAGTATGTGTGTTCACTCTCTGTCCTAAACGGCTTGTTGGAGCGCCCCCCCCTCTCCCTGTGAGCCCAGTGGCCGTCTGAGAAACAGCGAAACCCAGCACGAGCACACACACACGCACACACGCACGCAGCCTGGCTGTGAGTTTGTGTAGCCTGGCCGCATCCCGCCGTCTCAGGCGGAGAAATCGGCGGAGCTGCAGCTGAGAAAAGATTGTGTGTGTGTGTGTGTGTGTGTGTGTGTGTGTGAGGAAGTAGTAACGTAACGGCTCCGTGGACGTAACGTAACGGCTCCATACGTCACTGTACCCAGGAAGAAAAAGAGAAATGTCCAACGAGGCGTTCTGGGGCAGCAGAGACAGGTATTTTCTGTATTAGAGTTTTACTCGCTACAGGGTGTACTTTGAGGGTTTGTGACTCTGCAGACCGTTTACATGCAGAAAAACCGTGGGGTAATAACCGGAAAAGCATGACATGGGACCTTTAAGTACATCTTTGTGGTATCAGTACTTTACTCCACTACTTATTTTTCTGACGACTTTTTACTTTGACTTCTTTCATGTTGAACTCAAATACCTGTACTTTCTACTTCTTACATGTTGAACACAAATACCTGTACTTTCTACTTCTTACATGTTGAACACAAATACCTGTACTTTCTACTTCTTACATGTTGAACACAAATACCTGTACTTTCTACTTCTTACATGTTGAACACAAATACCTGTACTTTCTACTTCTTACATGTTGAACACAAATACCTGTACTTTCTACTTCTCACATGTTGAACACAAATACCTGTACTTTCTACTTCTTACATGTTGAACTCAAATACCTGTACTTTCTGCTTCTTACATGTTGAACACAAATACCTGTACTTTCTACTTCTCACATGTTGAACACAAATACCTGTACTTTCTGCTTCTTACATGTTGAACTACAAATACCTGTACTTTCTACTTCTTACATGTTGAACACAAATACCTGTACTTTCTACTTCTTACATGTTGAACTCAAATACCTGTACTTTCTACTTCTTACATGTTGAACTCAAATACCTGTACTTTCTGCTTCTTACATGTTGAACTCAAATACCTGTACTTTCTACTTTTCACATGTTGAACTCAAATACCTGTACTTTCTACTTCTTACATGTTGAACACAAATACCTGTACTTTCTACTTCTCACATGTTGAACTCAAATACCTGTACTTTCTACTTCTTACATGTTGAACACAAATACCTGTACTTTCTACTTCTTACATGTTGAACTCAAATACCTGTACTTTCTACTTCTTACATGTTGAACTCAAATACCTGTACTTTCTACTTCTTACATGTTGACTCAATACCTGTACTTCTTACATGTTGAACTCAAATACCTGTACTTTCTACTTCTTACATGTTGAACTCAAATACCTGTACTTTCTACTTCTTACATGTTGAACTCAAATACCTGTACTTTCTACTTCTTACATGTTGAACAAAATACCTGTACTTTCTACTTCTTACATGTTGAACTCAAATACCTGTACTTTCTACTTCTTACATGTTGAACTCAAATACCTGTACTTTCTACTTCTTACATGTTGAACTCAAATACCTGTACTTTCTACTTCTTACATGTTGAACTCAAATACCTGTACTTTCTACTTCTTACATGTTGAACTAAATACCTGTACTTTCTACTTCTTACATGTTGAACACAAATACCTGTACTTTCTACTTCTACATGTTGAACAGCAAATACCTGTACTTCTACGTCTTACATGTTGAACTCAAATACCTGTACTTTCTACTTCTTACATGTTGAACTACAAATACCTGTACTTTCTACTTCTTACATGTGAAACTCAAATACCTGTACTTTCTACTTCTTACATGTTGAACTCAAATACCTGTACTTCTACTTCTTACATGTTGAACTCAAATACCTTATGTTGAACTCAATACCTGTACTTTCTACTTCTTACATGTTGAACTCAAATACCTGTACTTTCTACTTCTTACATGTTGAACTCAAATACCTGTACTTTCTACTTCTTACATGTTGAACACAAATACCTGTACTTTCTACTTCTTACCTGTTGAACAAATACCTGTACTTTCTACTTCTTACATGTTGAACAAATACCTGTACTTTCTACTTCTTACATGTTGAACTCAAATACCTGTACTTTCTACTTCTTACATGTTGAACCAAATACCTGTACTTTCTACTTCTTACATGTTGAACCAAATACCTGTACTTTCTACTTCTTACATGTTGAACACAAATACCTGTACTTTCTACTTCTTACATGTTGAACTCAAATACCTGTACTTTCTACTTACATGTTGAACTCAAATACCTGTACTTTCTACTTCTTACATGTTGAACTCAAATACCTGTACTTTCTACTTCTTACATGTTGAACTCAAATACCTGTACTTTCTACTTCTTACATGTTGAACACAAATACCTGTACTTTCTACTTCTTACATGTTGAACTCAAATACCTGTACTTTCTACTTCTTACATGTTGAACTCAAATACCTGTACTTTCTACTTCTTACATGTTGAACACAAATACCTGTACTTTCTACTTCTTACATTTGAACTCAAATACCTGTACTTTCTACTTCGTACATGTTGAACACAAATACCTGTACTTTCTACTTCTCTACATGTTGAACTCAAATACCTGTACTTTCTACTTCTCACATGTTGAACTCAAATACCTGTACTTTCTACTTCTTACATGTTGAACACAAATACCTGTACTTTCTACTTCTTACATGTTGACCCAAATACCTGTACTTTCTACTTCTTACATGTTGAACATCAAATACCTGTACTTTCTACTTCTTACATGTTGAACACAAATACCTGTACTTTCTACTTCTCTACATGTTGAAACTCAAATACCTGTACTTTCTACTTCTTACATGTTGAACACAAATACCTGTACTTTCTACTTCTTACATGTTTAACTCAAATACCTGTTACCTTACATGTTGAACTCAAATACCTGTACTTTACTTCTTACATGTTGAACACAAATACCTGTACTTTCTACTTCTTACATGTTGAACACAAATACCTGTACTTTCTACTTCTTCACACATGTTGAACTCAAATACCTGTACTTTCTACTTACATGTTGTACTCACAAATACCTGTACTTTCTACTTCTTACATGTTGAACACAAATACCTGTACTTTCTACTTCTTACATGTTGAACTCAAATACCTGTACTTTCTACTTCTCACATGTTGAACTCAAATACCTGTACTTTCTACTTCTCATGTTGAACTCAAATACCTGTACTTTCTACTTCTTACATGTTGAACTCAAATACCTGTACTTTCTACTTCTTACATGTTGAACACAAATACCTGTACTTTCTACTTCTTACATGTTGAACTCAAATACCTGTACTTTCTACTTCTTACATGTTGAACCAAATACCTGTACTTTCTACTTCTTACATGTTGAACAAATACCTGTACTTTCTACTTCTTACATGTTGAACACAAATAACCTGTACTTTCTACTTCTTACATGTTGAACACAAATACTTGTACTTTCTACTTCTCTCATTTCCCAAACAGCTGGTTCCTTTAGTCTGAATGTGTGTTTGATTGCGTGATCATTATTCTTTAGAGTCATTGCGTGCCTATTGATTTGAACACGATCCGTGTATCCATCATTTCCTGGTCTTCTCTAAAGAAGAGGGACCAATGGAAACGTTGTCATGTTGCCGTTGTTCAGCATGGAAACATTCATTAGCTAACAATGACATTATTGTTCTATTAATATAAAGGGAGGTCAGGTACTCTTTAAAGCAGCTGCTAGTTATGGGTACTTTTTACTGAAATACATTTCAAAGCCTCTTTACTTTTACTTGAGCAAAGAAGTTTAGTCAGTACTTCTACTTTTACCAGAGTATTGTTAAACACGAGTATCTGTACTTCTACTTGAGTGAAGGATGTGTGTGCTTCTGCCATCTCTGTAGATATATCAATGAAAGTCTGAGGTCACAGAATCATCCAACAGTGCAACACAACAAAAGAGATAAAATAGTGCAAGTAAATATAAATAAAATAGAACATAATATTTCTTCCACCTTTGAATATTACATGTCAGACTCACCGATGAGTGTCAAGCCTTGCTGCTGGTTCAGATGAACCGACGTCTCCTCTTCCTCCTCTTCGTCTCCCCAGTCTGCGATGTTTGCGGGGGGGATGCATTGTTCCAGGAATAAATCCTCCTCGTCTTCCTCCATTTCGGGGTTTTCCGGAGGCCATCGCAGCTCGCCGCTCTCCACCTCGCTGAGCTCCGTGGGCTCCACCACGATGGAGGGCAGGCGCTCCTTTGCGTGGTCATGGCCAGGGAAGATCTGGAGATTCAAGATTTAAAGGTTTTATTGTCATATGCACAAAGCAGCTAGCTACAGTGTAGAAATGACAATGAGTATGTAGTGTCTCTACTTTAAAGAGTCCTCTCCTGCTGATGTTCAGGTGTGTATCAGTATGTAGTGTCTCTACTTTAAAGAGTCCTCTCCTGCTGATGTTCAGGTGTATATCAGTATGTAGTGTCTCTACTTTGAAGAGTCCTCTCCTGCTGATGTTCAGGTGTATATCAGCATGTAGTGTCTCTACTTTAAAGAGTCCTCTCCTGATGATGTTCAGGTGTATATCAGTATGTAGTGTCTCTACTTTAAAGAGTCCTCTCCTGCTGATGTTCAGGTGTATATCAGTATGTAGTGTCTCTACTTTGAAGAGTCCTCTCCTGCTGATGTTCAGGTGTATATCAGTATGTAGTGTCTCTACTTTAAAGAGTCCTCTCCTGCTGATGTCCAGGTGTATATCAGTATGTAGTGTCTCTACTTTAAAGAGTCCTCTCCTGCTGATGTTCAGGTGTATATCAGTATGTAGTGTCTCTACTTTGAAGAGTCCTCTCCTGCTGATGTTCAGGTGTATATCAGCATGTAGTGTCTCTACTTTAAAGAGTCCTCTCCTGATGATGTTCAGGTGTATATCAGTATGTAGTGTCTCTACTTTAAAGAGTCCTCTCCTGCTGATGTTCAGGTGTATATCAGTATGTAGTGTCTCTACTTTGAAGAGTCCTCTCCTGCTGATGTTCAGGTGTATATCAGTATGTAGTGTCTCTACTTTAAAGAGTCCTCTCCTGCTGATGTTCAGGTGTATATCAGCATGTAGTGTCTCTACTTTAAAGAGTCCTCTCCTGCTGATGTTCAGGTGTATATCAGTATGTAGTGTCTCTACTTTAAAGAGTCCTCTCCTGCTGATGTTCAGGTGTATATCAGCATGTAGTGTCTCTACTTTAAAGAGTCCTCTCCTGCTGATGTGCAGGTGTATATCAGTGTGTAGTGTCTCTACTTTAAAGAGTCCTCTCCTGCTGATGTTCAGGTGTATATCAGTATGTAGTGTCTCTACTTTAAAGAGTCCTCTCCTGATGATGTTCAGGTGTATATCAGTATGTAGTGTCTCTACTTTAAAGAGTCCTCTCCTGCTGATGTTCAGGTGTATATCCGTATGTAGTGTCTCTACTTTAAAGAGTCCTCTCCTGCTGATGTTCAGGTGTATATCAGTATGTAGTGTCTCTACTTTAAAGAGTCCTCTCCTGCTGATGTTCAGGTGTATATCAGTATGTAGTGTCTCTACTTTAAAGAGTCCTCTCCTGCTGATGTTCAGGTGTATATCAGTATGTAGAGTCTCTACTTTAAAGAGTCCTCTCCTGCTGATGTTCAGGTGTAATATCAGTATGTAGTGTCTCTACTTTGAAGAGTCCTCTCCTGCTGATGTTCAGGTGTATATCAGTATGTAGTGTCTCTACTTTGAAGAGTCCTCTCCTGCTGATGTTCAGGTGTATATCAGCATGTAGTGTCTCTACTTTGAAGAGTCCTCTCCTGCTGATGTTCAGGTGTATATCAGTATGTAGTGTCTCTACTTTGAAGAGTCCTCTCCTGCTGATGTTCAGGTGTATATCAGTATGTAGTGTCTCTACTTTAAAGAGTCCTCTCCTGATGATGTTCAGGTGTATATCAGTATGTAGTGTCTCTACTTTGAAGAGTCCTCTCCTGCTGATGTTCAGGTGTATATCAGTATGTAGTGTCTCTACTTTAAAGAGTCCTCTCCTGCTGATGTTCAGGTGTATATCAGCATGTAGTGTCTCTACTTTAAAGAGTCCTCTCCTGATGATGTTCAGGTGTATATCAGTATGTAGTGTCTCTACTTTAAAGAGTCCTCTCCTGCTGATGTTCAGGTGTATATCAGTATGTAGTGTCTCTACTTTAAAGAGTCCTCTACTGCTGATGTTCAGGTGTATATCAGTATGTAGTTGTCTCTACTTTGAAGAGTCCTCTCCTGCTGATGTTCAGGTGTATATCAGTATGTAGTTGTCTCTACTTTAAAGAGTCCTCTCCTGTTGATGTTCAGGTGTATATCAGCATGTAGTGTCTCTACTTTAAAGAGTCCTCTCCTGATGATGTTCAGGTGTATATCAGTATGTAGTGTCTCTACTTTAAAGAGTCCTCTCCTGCTGATGTTCAGGTGTATATCAGTATGTAGTGTCTCTACTTTAAAGAGTCCTCTACTGCTGATGTTCAGGTGTATATGTAGTGTCTCTACTTTAAAGAGTCCTCTCCTGCTGATGTTCAGGTGTATATCAGCATGTAGTGTCTCTACTTTAAAGAGTCCTCTCCTGCTGATGTGCAGGTGTATATCAGTGTGTAGTGTCTCTACTTTAAAGAGTCCTCTCCTGCTGATGTTCAGGTGTATATCAGTATGTAGTGTCTCTACTTTAAAGAGTCCTCTCCTGATGATGTTCAGGTGTATATCAGTATGTAGTGTCTCTACTTTAAAGAGTCCTCTCCTGCTGATGTTCAGGTGTATATCCGTATGTAGTGTCTCTACTTTAAAGAGTCCTCTCCTGCTGATGTTCAGGTGTATATCAGTATGTAGTGTCTCTACTTTAAAGAGTCCTCTCCTGCTGATGTTCAGGTGTATATCAGTATGTAGTGTCTCTACTTTAAAGAGTCCTCTCCTGCTGATGTTCAGGTGTATATCAGTATGTAGTGTCTCTACTTTAAAGAGTCCTCTCCTGCTGATGTGCAGGTGTATATCAGCATGTAGTGTCTCTACTTTAAAGAGTCCTCTCCTGCTGATGTTCAGGTGTGTATTAGTGTGTAGTGTCTCTACTTTAAAGAGTCCTCTCCTGCTGATGTTCAGGTGTATATCAGTGTGTAGTGTCTCTACTTTAAAGAGTCCTCTCCTGCTGATGTTCAGGTGTATATCAGTGTGTAGTGTCTCTACTTTAAAGAGTCCTCTCACCTGGAACGGTAATCTCTGGTCTTTTCTCTGCATGTCTTCACAGTTTGGATCCCCGCTCATCTCCTCCATGAATCTGCAGAGGAAACAAAACCATAATGAGACGAAAACAGATTCTCTTTCGTGTTTAAAAATCTGAATCTATAGAGTAAAACAATTTAAGTGAAGTACAAATATTTCCCTTTATATTTCAGTTGAGTATAAGTACACAGTAGGTGACACAGAAAGAAAATACACAATTGAATTCCAAGGACCTCCAATTCGTACTTAAGTTCAGTTCTTGCATAAATGTACTTTTCAGCACACATTCTCTTTCCTTTCCAGATCTGAGCCTGCCTTGGTTTATTTTTCATTATTTTAGAAACAAAGACTCTGTGAAAATCATTTCCAATAACATCTCAACAAACTGTAGAAACCTGAATGCTACATGCTACATGCAGAACTACCAGATAAACATGTGCACACATGGCGTTGTTTGTCCCAGCAGAGATCCACATTTGGATGAAACCACTCCATCCGGTTTTCTATGAAATAACATGATCATCCCTTCCCCTTCAGATTAGGGCAATATAGGATTGTATCCCAAAATGGATTATGTCCTCTGCCGCTCATATTTGGTGTCCTCACAGATCTAATGCGCTGTTTTGGCTCGGCCTGTTATTACAAGCGCTGGAAGCCAAAGCGTTTAAAGTCTTCTCGTCATGTCTCAGGTTCTGTTATATTGATGTGAAAGAAACACCAAAAACAGTCACTTCTGCTGGCAAATATATGTTTACATTATAAAGGCAATACAATTGTTTCTCTCCCGGTCAGTACAACATATTATTGTGTTGTTTCATCACATAACATTTAATTGAAGTGAATAGTAATGCTAATGCCAGTTTAAGGGGGCCAACGCTATAACGGTTTAAAATCCTCCATCATGAGAAACACGCTGCAGCGTCAGAAAGGATGCAGATATAAAAACACAAATGTTTCACATGAAAAAACATCTTCAGCAACAACACATGCAGCGTTTAGAGAACATCCAGCAGCTTGAGGAGACATGGCAGCGTTTAGAGAACATCCAGCAGCTTGAGGAGACATGGCAGCGTTTAGAGAACATCCAGCAGCTTGAGGAGACATGGCAGCGTTTAGAGAACATCCAGCAGCTTGAGGAGACATGGCAGCGTTTAGAGAACACTCAGCAGCTTGAGGAGACATGGCAGCGTTTAGAGAACACTCAGCAGCTTGAGGAGACATGGCAGCGTTTAGAGAACATCCAGCAGCTTGAGGAGACATGGCAGCGTTAGAGAACATCCAGCAGCTTGAGGAGACATGGCAGCGTTTAGAGAACATCCAGCAGCTTGAGGAGACATGGCAGCGTTTAGAGACATCCAGCAGCTTGAGGAGACATGGCAGCGTTTAGAGAACATCCAGCAGCTTGAGGAGACATGGCAGCGTTTAGAGAACATCCAGCAGCTTGAGGAGACATGGCAGCGTTTAGAGAACATCCAGCAGCTTGAGGAGACATGGCAGCGTTTAGAGAACATCCAGCAGCTTGAGGAGACATGGCAGCGTTTAGAGAACATCCAGCAGCTTGAGGAGACTTGGCAGCGTTTAGAGAACATCCAGCAGCTTGAGGAGACATGGCAGCGTTTAGAGAACATCCAGCAGCTTGAGGAGACATGGCAGCGTTTAGAGAACATCCAGCAGCTTGAGGAGACATGGCAGCGTTTAGAGAACATCCAGCAGCTTGAGGAGACATGGCAGCGTTTAGAGAACATCCAGCAGCTTGAGGAGACATGGCAGCGTTTAGAGAACATTCAGCAGTTTGAGGAGACATGGCAGCATTTAGAGAACATCCAGCAGCTTGAGGAGACATGGCAGCATTTAGAGAACATCCAGCAGCTTGAGGAGACATGGCAGCGTTTAGAGAACATCCAGCAGCTTGAGGAGACATGGCAGCGTTTAGAGAACATCCAGCAGCTTGAGGAGACATGGCAGCGTTTAGAGAACATCCAGCAGCTTGAGGAGACATGGCAGCGTTTAGAGAACATCCAGCAGCTTGAGGAGACATGGCAGCGTTTAGAGAACATCCAGCAGCTTGAGGAGACATGGCAGCGTTTAGAGAACATCCAGCAGCTTGAGGAGACATGGCAGCGTTTAGAGAACATCCAGCAGCTTGAGGAGACATGGCAGCGTTTAGAGAACATCCAGCAGCTTGAGGAGACATGGCAGCGTTTAGAGAACATCCAGCAGCTTGAGGAGACATGGCAGCATTTAGAGAACATCCAGCAGCTTGAGGAGACATGGCAGCGTTTAGAGAACATCCAGCAGCTTGAGGAGACTTGGCAGCGTTTAGAGAACATCCAGCAGCTTGAGGAGACATGGCAGCGTTTAGAGAACATCCAGCAGCTTGAGGAGACATGGCAGCGTTTAGAGAACATCCAGCAGCTTGAGGAGACATGGCAGCGTTTAGAGAACATCCAGCAGCTTGAGGAGACATGGCAGCGTTTAGAGAACATCCAGCAGCTTGAGGAGACATGGCAGCGTTTAGAGAACATTCAGCAGTTTGAGGAGACATGGCAGCATTTAGAGAACATCCAGCAGCTTGAGGAGACATGGCAGCATTTAGAGAACATCCAGCAGCTTGAGGAGACATGGCAGCGTTTAGAGAACATCCAGCAGCTTGAGGAGACATGGCAGCGTTTAGAGAACATCCAGCAGCTTGAGGAGACATGGCAGCGTTTAGAGAACATCCAGCAGCTTGAGGAGACATGGCAGCGTTTAGAGAACATCCAGCAGCTTGAGGAGACATGGCAGCATTTAGAGAACATCCAGCAGCTTGAGGAGACATGGCAGCGTTTAGAGAACATCCAGCAGCTTGAGGAGACATGGCAGCGTTTAAAAGCTGCAGGAACCAAACGCTGAAGAAGCTCAAACACAAAGGAGACCAGGGGACACTAAAGAGTGACGCACACAGCTGGGAGACCAGGGACACTAAAGAGTGACGCACACAGCTGGAGACCAAGGGACACTAAAGAGTGACGCACACAGCTGGGAGACCAGGGGACACTAAAGAGTGACGCACACAACTGGGAGACCAGGGGACACTAAAGAGTGACGCACACAGCTGGAGACCAGGGGACACTAAAGAGTGACGCACACAGCTGGGAGACCAGGGGACACTAAAGAGTGACGCACACAGCTGGGAGACCAGGGACACTAAAGAGTGACGCACCAGCTGGGAGAACCAGGGGACACTAAAGAGTGACGCACACAGCTGGGAGACCAGGGGACACTAAAGAGTGACGCACACAGCTGGGAGACCAGGGGACACTAAAGAGTGACGCACACAGCTGGGAGACCAGGGGACACTAAAGAGTGATGCACACATCTGGGACCGGAGCGCTTGGTGACGTTCAGGATTATAAAGCTGGACAACTTTAACTTTGTCTGATCTTTGTAGGATTGTTTAATATTTAGCGTGGTTGTATTTTGTGTTTGTGACCAAAGACATTGGCTAGTGTATTTTGACCAGTCTTGTACTCGTAGCTAACACCTAACAGCTACTTTAGTGTGCCCCGGAAATTGGTTAACCAGCTGTGTAACCATACCATAATCAACTTGTACATTTTACTTTATATTCAGTCAATAAACGTTACTCTCTGAAGCAGACAGCAACACTGTGTTACAGGCAGTTTAAACCTTTGTCTGTGAACACATCTATCGTCAATCTGTTTAAGGTCTCCAGAAAAGCCGCGGGGGGATTAAGAGCGACTGAGGTTCTGCCTGAATCCCTTCTTTATCCCTCTTTCCTTTCCTCTCTGCGCCTGAGTGTCTCTCCATAAGTACCAATCATGGTTTGTTGTCATTCAAAGGCCTCGTCCAAATCTTGCTTACTCTTTAATGAAATTAGGAGACAGATCTAATCAGCAGTGTTTCTGTTTTCAGACCGGGTACTTTTGCTAAGAGCAACAGCAGTCACGCTACATTAAACTATTTTTAAAAGAGCTTGTAAATCCTTACTAAAAATCTTCTGAGCTATTCTGGTAGAAAACAGGAAGATGTCACGCAATACGCTGCACAAGGAAACATGGACACGGCAAAACACACACGCGTGGTTGAATGTTGAAAAAGGACAGGAGAGCTCTTAAAATCTAACATCTGCTCAATATTCAGACAGTCTTACTTGAAGTTGAAAATGTCTGAGTTTCTTCTCTTAAAGTTACCATTTTATTCGCAGATAATAGTTGTTTTTTTCTGTTAAATGCAGTTAAAGCTCAGGGAATATGTACTGTTTTTTAGTCTATGTTTTACAAAAACTAAAATATGAGGTCATAGCCAAATTAAATGTATTTCCAGTGGGAAAAAATATATATCTTACTGTAAATAATGCTAATATTAGCTTGCTAACACACTAAGATGGTGGACTTTATTCACACATACACTGCAGTGATGGGATGTTTCACAGCATCCTCTGTTATGGCGCGTTTCCACTGCAGCGGGTAGCTCGCTTTAAACGTGCCGAGCCGTGCGGGGCCCGTTTCTTGGTTGCGTTTCCACTTGGCCTAGTTTTGGCCCGGGGCTACTTTTTCACCTTTTTTCTGGCCCGACTAAATCGTGGTTCTAGGGCCAGGAACAACCAGGCTGAGTCGGGCTGAGTATTCTTTCACACACAGTGACGTCACAGCTACCCACAATGCAACGCGCGCCATATATTTTTTTATAAAGACGCCATTTTTCTGGAGGTACAAAAATCCTGGCGATGCTAATATAAACAGCTAGCTTATGTTGCCAGGCAGAGCGCACTAGGTTTTTTTTCTGAATTAACGACCGAAAAAATCGCTGCATGTCTTCGGATTACATCTCTGGACTTGAGGGGTGTGCTCTAGGTCGTTACCAGCGTAAACTAGAGCTGTGTGGGTTGTTGGATGTACAATGTATGGAATTACGACCCTCAAAAGTGGCCTTCGGTCGATTTTGGCAGCATCTACGTCTATCTTCTGGAAACACCAGGTGAATACCCCACTTGTCACAATAATATTATCATGCCATTGCATATATGTG